AAAAAAAACTTAATTGTTGTTTACTTGATAGTTTTTTGCCCTGGTAATAATGTTGTACTTGATGTTTTATATTCCTAACCAGTATAAGTATTGTCAAACTAGATGAGAATTGTTAACATTTTGGTCTTTTGTTATATACTCGAGGAAAAAAAAAGTTTGTCACTTTGTTAACATTTATGTTCGCCAACAAATAAAAAGAAATATTAAAAAAAGTTAGCCATTGAAAATACTATGAGACATAGTTTTACTTTGACATACAGCGGGGTTGTCATGAATCATTGATTGCCTCAATGGCAACTGGAGACAGTGTTATAAAACTCCCAAAGACCTCTATGGTGACTGAAATTTCAATATAGGTCCACAAAACTTTTGTCTGGTGATGTGTACTCATGCTGTATTGGAGTCCGTTCCAATTCGTTGCAATCCTACAGGACGGAGTTAAGCAGTCCCTTAGGGCTTCAGAGACTGTAAATTTTCACAGGTGCAGAATGACTCATCTTTGTCCAGAGGGAAAGCTGGTGAGTGCAAACCAACAAACTTTTGATTGTTGTTGTGTGCTGTTGAGTCAGAACCAACTTATAGCTGACCTTGCTGACCTTCCAGTGGGTTTTCAGAGGCTATAAATCACACAAGAGGAGACTATCCATCTTTCTTCGATTGCAACTGTGTGCCTTCTGGTTGGCAGCAGAACTCCTTACCACTAAGCCATTGTCAAATACTTTAGCCACTTTACCACCAGCGTTCCTATTACTATCTTAACTGTTATAGTGTATATTTTGCTTACAATTATATTAGCTCTTCTATTCTCTTCTTAAATTAAAACAAGCTTGGAAGCAGGAGTGGTATCCACTTCCAAAATAGCTTGCCTCTGAAAACTCTATGAACTTGGAGAAACGATGAAAGTTATACAAGTGTTTATGTATATCATGCATAGGGTCAGATGAGTTGTCTATGACTCAACGGCACTTAACAACAACAACAACAACAATAAATTCTCTTTTTAGGCAAGGCTCCAATAAGAATCTTGTACATAGGTTCTAGTACCATATTTTTCAGATACTATTATAATCAATAGGATGTTGATAGAGGCAAAGCATCTGGAAAATGTGTTTTTAGGGAGAATAATCCTGCTCCTTGGAGGCAAGGATTCTGAGACCGTCTGACATATTTTGGGCATTTTGCAAGGAGGAACCAGTCCTTGGAGAGGGACATCATTGTTGGAAAGGTGGAACGATGGAGAAAGAGAGGGAGAACATCGATGAGATGGATTGATACAGTGACTGGGGTAATGAGGGTTGGTGTGTCAGAGACAGTCAAGTTGGCACAGGATAGAGCTGGTTTCAAGGCTGTTGTACATAGGGTCCCTGTGAATCTCAAGTGACTCAATGGCACACAACAACAACAAACCAAAGGAAAAGGAGTTATGGTGGCATGATTGGTAATGTATTGGACTGCTAACCAAAGGCTGACAGTTCAAATCCACCAGCCCTTCTATGGAAGAGAGAGAGACAATCTCCTATAAAAATTTAAACCTTGTGTAGAATGAGGCTGGCATTGGGGTGGGGGTAAGACTGAGAAAAACTGGATGAAATATGTTTATGGCATTGAAGTCTATGGGGGAGAGAATAGTCTAAAAGTATTATATTTTAGGGTATTATTTTTATCGTAGGAG